TATGAGATTGAACCGACAATCAATAAACCACCAAAACACTTTATTCGTTTTGATAAATATAGAGGACTTTATTAGATGATACCGGCCGGGATCAAACCTGCGGCCTTCTGCGTGTAAAGCCCCAGGTTGGGAACCACTGCATTAGATGATTGCGGCCGGGATCGAACCGGCCGCCTTCTGCGTGTTAAGCAGATGTGATAACCACTACACCACGGAACCTACAAAAATAAAACGCATTTGCAGCACGCATCGCCAATATTTAATAAAAGCTTAAAATAAATAATGAAGACTTCGATGTATGATTCATCGTGGGATTGCACCGATAGTCAATAAACCACCAAAATTCTTCATTTGTTTGGAATAAATACAAAGGATTTTATTAGATGATTCCGGCCGGGATCGAACCGGCGGCTTTCTGCGTGTAAAGCAGATGTGATAACCACTACACCACGAAACCTACAAAATTAAAACGCATTTGCAGGCAGCATCGCCAATATTCAATAAAAGCTTAGAATAAATATTGAGGACATCGATGTATGATTGACATCATGGGATTGCACCGACAATCAATATATCACCAAAAATCTTCATTGGTTTTGAATTAATATAGAGGATTTTATTACATGATTCCGGCCGAAATTGAACCGGCGGCCTTCTGCGTGTGAAGGAGATGTGATAACCACAACACCACAGAACCTACAAAAATAAAACGCATTTGTAAAACGCATCGCCAATATTTAATAAAAGCTTAGAATAAATAGTGAAAACTTTGATGTATGATTTATCATGGGATCGCACCGACAATTAATTTACCACCAAAACTCTTTATTGGTTTTGAATTAATACAGAGGATTTCATTACATGATTCCGGCCGGGATCGAACCGGCGGTCTTCTGTATGATTTATGATTCATCATGGGATTGCACCGACAATCAATAAACCACCAAAAACCTTTATTCGTTTTGAATAAATATAGAGTATTACATTTGATGATTCGTGAGATTGCACAGACAGTCAATAAACCACCAAAAGCCTTCATTGGATTTGAATAAATATAGAGGATTGCATTAGATGATTCCGGCCGGGATTGAACCGGCGGCCTTCTGCGTGTTAAGCAGATGTGATAACCACAACACCACGGAATCTATAAAAATAAAACGCATTAGCAGCACGCATCGCCAATATTTAATAAAAGCTTAGAATAAAAATTGAAGACTTCGATGTATTATTCATCGTGAGATTGCACCGACAGTCAATAAACCACCAAAAATCTTCATTGGATTTGAATAAATATAGAGGATTTAATTATATGATTCCGGCCGGGATCGAACCGGGGGCCTTCTGCGTGTGAAGCAGATGTGATAACCACTACACCAAGGAACCTACAAAAATAAAACGCATTTGCAGCAATATTGAGACATCGATATAAGATTCATAATGAGATTGCACCGACAATCAATAAACCAACAAAACCCTTTATTTGTTTTGATAAATATAGAGGATTTCATTAGATGATTCTGGCCGGGGTCGAACCGGCGGCCTTCTGCGTGTTAAGCAGATGTGATAACCGCTACACCACGGAACCTACAAAAATAAACACCATTTGCAGCAATATTGAGGACATTATGAGATTGAACCGACAATCAATAAACCACCAAAACACTTTATTCGTTTTGATAAATATAGAGGACTTCATTAGATGATTCCGGCCGGGATCAAACCTGCGGCCTTCTGCGTGAAAAGCAGATGTGATAACCACTACACCACGGAACCTACAAAACTAAAACGCATTTGCAGCACGCATCGCCAATATTTAATAAAAGCTTAGAATAAAAAATGCAGACTTCGATGTATGATTCATCGTGAGATTGCACCGACAGTCAATAAACCACCAAAAATCTTCATTGGTTTTGAACTAATATAGAGGATTTCATTAGATGATTCCGACCGGTATCGAATCGGCGGCCTTCTGCGTGTTAAGTAGATGTGATAACTACTACACCACAAAACCTACAAAAATAAAACGCATTCGCAGCAATATTGAGGACATCGATGTAAGATTCATCATGAGATTGCACCGACAATCAATAAACCACCAAAACCCTTTTTTCGTTTTGATAAATATAGAAGACTTCATTAGATGATTCCGGCCGGGATCGAACCGGCGGCCTTCTGCGTGTAAAGCAGATTTGATAACCACTACACCACAGAACCTACAAAAATAAAACCCATTTGCAGCAATATTGAGGACATCATGAGATTGCACCGGCAATCAATAAACACCAAAACCCTTTATTGGTTTTGAATAAATGTAGAGGATTTCATTAGATGATTCCGGCCAGTATCGAATCGGCGGCCTTCTGCGTGTTAAGTAGATGTGATAACTACTACACCACAAAACCTAGAAAAATAAAACGCATTTGCAGCAATATTGAGGACATCGATGTAAGATTCATCATGAGATTGCACCGACAATCAATGAACCACCAAAACCCTTCATTCGTTTTGATAAATATATAGGATTTTATTAGATGATTCCGGCAGGGATCGAACCGACGGCCTTCTGCGTGTTAAGCAGATGTGATAACCACTACACAACGGAACCTGCAAAAATAAAACGCATTTGCAGCACGCATCGCCAATATTTAATAAAAGTTTAAAATAAATATTGGTGACTTCGATATATGATTCATCGTGGGATTGCACCGACAGTCAATAAACCACCAAACGCCTTTATTGGTTTTGAATAAATAAAGAGTATTACATTACATGATTCCGACCGGGATCGAACCGGCGTATAATTTATTATGGTATTGCAACGACAATTAATTAACCACCAAAACCCTTTTTTGGCTTTGAATAAATATGTAGGATTTCATTAGATGATTCCGGCCGGGATTGAACCGGCGGCGTTCTGCGTGTTAAGCAGATGAGATAACCAGTACACCACGGAACCTACAAAAATAAAACGCATTTGCAGCACGCATCGCCAATATTTAATAAAAGCTTAGAATAAATATTGAGAACTTTGATGTATGATTTATCATGGGATTGCATCGACAATCAATAAACCACCAAAACCCTTCATTGGTTTTGAATAAATACAGAGGATTTCACTACATGATTCCGGCCGGGATCGAACCGGCAACCTTCTGCGCGTGAAGCAGATGCGATAACCACTACACCACGGAACCTACAAAAATAAAACGCATTTGTAGCACGCATCGCCAATATTTGATAAAAGCTTAGAATAAATATTGAGAACTTTGATGTATGATTTATCATAGGATTGCACCGACAATCAATAAACCACCAAAACCCTTTATTGGCTTTGAATAAATATATAGGATTTCATTAGATGATTCCGGCCGGGATCGAATCGGCGGCGTTCTGCGTGTTAAGCAGATGTGATAACCACTACAACACGAAACCTACAAAAATAAAACGCATTTGCAGCAATATTGAGGACATCGATGTAAGATTCATCATGAGATTGCACCGACAATCAATAAAGCACCAAAACCCTTTATTCGTTCTGATAAATTTAGAGGATTTTATTAGATGATTCCGGCCGGGACCGAACAGGCGGCCTTCTGCGCGCAAAGCAGATGTGATAACTACTACACCACGGAACATACAAAAATAAAGCGCATTTGCAGCAGGCATCGCCAATATTTAATAAAAGCTTAGAATAAATATTCAAGACTTTGAAGTATGATTCATCGTACGTATGCTGCACCGACAGTCATTAAACCACCAAAAACCTTTATTGGATTTGAATAAATATAGAGGATTTCATTAGATGATTCCGGCCGGGATCGAACCGGCGGCCTTCTGCGTATTGAGCAGATGTGATAACCACTACACCACGAAACTTTCACAAATAAAACGCATTTGTAGCACGCATCGCCAATATTTAATAAACGCTCAGAATAAATATTGAAGACTTCGATGTGTGATTCATCGTGAGATTGCACCGACAGTGAATAAACCACTAAAAGCATTCATTGGATTTGAATAAATATAGAGGATTGCATTAGATGATTCCGGCCGGGATTGAACCGGCGGCCTTCTGCGTGTTAAGCAGATGTGATAACCACAACACCACGGAACCGGCGGCCTTCTGCTTGTTTAGCAGATGTGATAACCGCTACACCACGGAACCTACAAAAATAAACACCATTTGCAGCAATATTGAGGACATTATGAGATTGAACCGACAATCAATAAACCACCACAACACTTTATTCGTTTTGATAAATATAGAGGACTTTATTAGATGATTCCGGCCGGGATCAAACCTGCGGCCTTCTGCGTGTAAAGCAGTTGTGATAACCACTACACCACGGAACCTACAAAAATAAAACGCATTTGCAGCACGCATCGCCAACATTTAATAAAAGCTTAGAATAAAAAATGAAGACTTCGATGTATGATTCATCGTGAGATTGCACCGACAGTCAATAAACCACCAAAAATCTTCATTGGTTTTGAACTAATATAGAGGATTTCATTAGACGATTCCGGCCGGTATCGAATCGGCGGCCTTCTGCGTGTTAAGTAGATGTGATAACTACTACAAAAATAAAACGCATTTGCAGCAATATTGAGGACATCGATGTAAGATTCATCATGAGATTGCACCGACAATCAGTAAACCACCAAAACCCTTTATTCGTTTTGATAAATATAGAAGACTTAGAATAAATATTAAAAACTTTGGTGTATGATTCATGATGAGATTGCACCGACAGTCAATAAACCACCGTAAATCTTCATTGGTTTTGAATTAATATAGAGGACTTTATTATATGATACCGGCTGGGGTCGAACCGGCGGCCTTCCGCGTGTTAAGCAGATGTGATAACCGCTACACCACGGAACCTACAAAAATAAACACCATTTGCAGCAATATTGAGGACATTATGAGATTGAACCGACAATCAATAAACCACCAAAACACTTTATTCGTTTTGATAAATATAGAGGACTTCATTAGATGATTCCGGCCGGGATCAAACCTGCGGCCTTCTGCGTGTAAAGCAGATGTAATAACCACTACACCACGGAACCTACAAAAATAAACCGCATTTGCAGCACGCATCGCCAATATTTAATAAAAGCTTAGAATAAAAATTGAAGACTTCGATGTATGATTCATCGTGAGATTGCACCGACAGTCAATAAACCACCAAAAGTCTTCATTGGTTTTGAACTAATACAGAGGATTTCATTATATGATTTCGGCCGGGATCGAATCGGTGGCCTCCTGCGTGTGAAGCAGATGTGGTAACCACTACACCACGAAACCTACAAAAACAAAACCCATTTGCAGCAATATTGAGGACATCATGAGATTGCACCGGCAATCAATAAACACCAAAACCCTTTATTGGTTTTGAATAAATGCAGAGGATTTCATTAGATGATTCCGGCCGGTATCAAATCGGCGGCCTTCTGCGTGTTAAGTAGATGTGATAACTACTACACCACAAAACCTACAAAAATAAAACGCATTTGCAGCAATATTGAGGACATCGATGTAAGATTCATCATGAGTTTGCACCGACAATCAATAAGCCACCAAAACCCTTCATTCGTTTTGATAAATATAGAGGATTTTATTAGATTATTCCGGCAGGGATTGAACCGGCGGCCTTCTGCGTGTTAAGCAGATGTGATAACCACTACACAACGCAACCTACAAAAACAAATCGCATTTGCAGCAGGCATCGCCAATATTTAATAAAAGCTTAAAATAAATATTGAAGACTTCGATGTATGATTCATCGTGAGATTGCACCGACAGTCAATTAACCACCAAAAATCTTCATTGGTTTTGAACTAATAAATTTAATTTAAATTTAAAAATATAGAGGATTTCATTATATGATTCCGGTCGGGATCGAATCGGCGGCCTTCTTCGTGTTAAGCAGATGTGATAACCACTACACCACGGAACCTACAAAAATAAAACGCATTTGCAGCAATATTGAGGACATCGATGTAAGATTCATTATGAAATTGCGCCGAAAATCAATAAATCACCAAAACTTCATTAGATGATTCCGGCTGGGATCGAAACGGCGGCCTTCTGCGTGTAAAGCATATGTGATAACCAGCACACCACGGAACCTACAAAAACAAAACGCATTTGCAGCACGCATTGCCAATATTTAATAAAGGCTTAAAATAAATATTAAAGACTTCGATGTATGATTCATCGTACGTTAGCTGCACCGACAGTCAATAAACCACCAAAAGCCTTTATTGGATTTGAATAAGTATAGAGAATTTCATTATATGATTCCGACCGGGATCGAACCGGCCGCCTTCAGACTGTAAAGCAGATGCGACAACCAATACACTACGGAACATACAAAAATAAAACGCATTTGCAGCAGGCATCGCTAATATTTAATAAAAGCTTAGAATAAATATTGAAGACTTCGATGTATGATTTATCGTACGTATGCTGCACCGACAGTCAATAAACCACCAAAAGCCTTTATTGGATTTGAATAAGTATAGAGGATTTTATTATATGATGCCGGCCCGGATCGAACCGGCCGCCTTCTGCGTGTAAAGCAGATGCGATAACCACTACGCCACGAAACCTACAAAAAGAAAACCCATTTGCAGCAATATTGAGGACATTATGAGATTGCACCGACAATCAATAAACCACCAAAACCCTTTATTGGTTTTGAATATATGTAGAGGATTTTATTAGATGATACCGGCCGGGATCAAACCGGCGGCCTTGGAACCTACAGAAATAATTCTCATTTGCAGCAATATTGATGACATCACTGTAAGATTCATCAGGAGCTTGCACCGACAATCAATAAACCACCAAAACCCTTTATTTGTTTTGAATAAATGTAGAGGATTTTATTAGATGATTCCGGCCGGGATCGAACCGGCGGCCTTCTGCGTGTAAAGCAGATGTGATAACCACTACACCACGGAACCTACAAAAATAGAACGCATTTGTAGCACGCATCGCTAATATTTAATAAAAGCTCAGATAAAATATTGCAGACTTTGATGTATGATTCATCGTGAGATTGCACCGACAGTCAATAAACTACCAAAAGCCTTTATTGGATTTGAATAAATATAGAGGATTTCATTATATGATTCCGGCCGGGATCGAACAGGCGGCCTACACCATGGAACCTACAAAAATAAATCTCATTTGCAGCAATATTAAGAACATCACTGTAAGATTCATCATGAGATTGCACCGACAATCAATAAACCACCAAAACCCTTTATTCGTTGTGAATAAATGTACAGGCTTTCATTAGATGATTCCGGCCGGGATCGAATCGGCGGCCTTCTGCGCGTAAAGCAGATGTGATAACCACTACACCACGGAACCTACAAAAATAAAACGCATTTGCAGCACGCATCGCCAATATTTAATAAAAGCTTAGAATAAAAATTGAAGACTTCGATGTATGATTTATCGTGAGATTGCACCGACAGTCAATAAACCACCAAAAGCCTTCATTGGATTTGAATAAATATAGAAGATTTCATTAGATGATTCCGGCCGGGATCGAACCGGCGGCCTTCTGCGTGTAAAGCAGATGTGATAACCACTACACCACGAAACCTACAAAAATAAAACCCATTTGCAGCAATATTGAAAACATCATGAGATTGCACCGACAATCAATAAACACCAAAACCCTTTATTGGTTTTGAATAAATGTAGAGGATTTCATTAGATGATTCCGGCCGGGATCGAACCGGCGGCCTTCTGCGTGTAAATCAGATGTGATAACCACTACACCACGAAACCTACAAAAATAAAACGCATTTGCAGCACGCATCGCCAATATTCAATAAAGGCTTAGAATAAATAATAAACTTCGGTGTAAGATTCATCGTGAGATTGCACCGACAGTCAATAAACCACCAAAAATCTTTATTGGTTTTGAACTAATATAGAGGATTTCATTATATGATTCCGGCCGGGATCGAACCAGCGGCCTTCTGCGTGTGAAGCAGATGTGATAACCGCTACACCACGGAACCCACAAAAATAACTCCTATTTGCAGCAATATTGAGGACATTATGAGATTGCACCGACAATCAATAAACCACCAAAACCCTTTATTCGTTTTGATAAATATAGAGGACTTTATTAGGTGATTCCGGCTAGGATCGAACCGGCGGCCTTCTGCGTGTGAAGCAGATGTGCTAACCAATACACCACGGAACCTACAAAAACAAAACGCATTTGCAGCACGCATCGCCAATATTTAATAAAGGCTTAGAATAAATATTAAAGACTTCGGTGCATAATTCATCGTGAGATTGCACCGACAGTCAATAAACCACCAAAAATCTTCATTGGTTTTGAACTAATATAGAGGATTTCATTATATGATTCCGGCCGGGATCGAACCGGCGGCCTTCTGCGTGTGAAGCAGATGTGATAACCACTACACCACGGAACCTGCAAAAATAAAACGCATTTGCAGCACGCATCGCCAATATTTAATAAAAGTTTAAAATAAATATTGGTGACTTCGATATATGATTCATCGTGGGATTGCACCGACAGTCAATAAACCACCAAACGCCTTTATTGGTTTTGAATAAATAAAGAGTATTACATTACATGATGCCGACCGGGATCGAACCGGCGTATAATTTATTATGGTATTGCAACGACAATTAATTAACCACCAAAACCCTTTTTTGGCTTTGAATAAGTATGTAGGATTTCATTAGATGATTCCGGCCGGGATTGAACCGGCGGCGTTCTGCGTGTTAAGCAGATGAGATAACCAGTACACCACGGAACCAACAAAAATAAAACGCATTTGCAGCACGCATCGCCAATATTTAATAAAAGCTTAGAATAAATATTGAGAACTTTGATGTATGATTTATCATGGGATTGCATCGACAATCAATAAACCACCAAAACCCTTCATTGGTTTTGAATAAATACAGAGGATTTCACTACATGATTCCGGCCGGGATCGAACCGGCGACCTTCTGCGTGTGAAGCAGATGCGATAACCACTACACCACGGAACCTACAAAAATAAAACGCATTTGTAGCACGCATCGCCAATATTTGATAAAAGCTTAGAATAAATATTGAGTACTTTGATGTATGATTTATCATGGGATTGCACCGACAATCAATAAACCACCAAAACCCTTTATTGGCTTTGAATAAATATATAGGATTTCATTAGATGATTCCGGCCGGGATCGAATCGGCGGCGTTCTGCGTGTTAAGCAGATGTGATAACCACTACAACACGAAACCTACAAAAATAAAACGCATTTGCAGCAATATTGAGGACATCGATGTAAGATTCATCATGAGATTGCACCGACAATCAATAAAGCACCAAGACCCTTTATTCGTTCTGATAAATTTAGAGGATTTTATTAGATGATTCCGGCCGGGACCGAACAGGCGGCCTTCTGCGCGCAAAGCAGATGTGATAACTACTACACCACGGAACATACAAAAATAAAACGCATTTGCAGCAGGCATCGCCAATATTTAATAAAAGCTTAGGATAAATATTGAAGACTTTGAAGTATGATTCATCGTACGTATGCTGCGCCGACAGACAATAAACCACCAAAAACCTTTATTGGATTTGAATAAATATAGAGGATTTCATTAGATGATTCCGGCCGGGATCGAACCGGCGGCCTTCTGCGTATTGAGCAGATGTGATAACCACTACACCACGAAACCTTCACAAATAAAACGCATTTGTAGCACGCATCGCCAATATTTAATAAACGCTCAGAATAAATATTGAAGACTTCGATGTGTGATTTATCGTGAGATTGCACCGACAGTCAATAAACCACTAAAAGCATTCATTGGATTTGAATAAATATAGAGGATTGCATTAGATGATTCCGGCCGGGATTGAACCGGCGGCCTTCTGCGTGTTAAGCAGATGTGATAACCACAACACCACGGAACCGGCGGCATTCTGCGTGTTTAGCAGATGTGATAACCGCTACACCACGGAACCTACAAAAATAAACACCATTTGCAGCAATATTGAGGACA